GTGGATTCGGGCCGGGCCTAGGCCCGGTCGGGCCGCCGGTTCGTATCACATGGGCCCTGGACCGACCCGAGGGTTGGACGGGTCCGGTTCGGGCCGTGCCACCCGCCCGGGTCATGGGTCGGGCCACCCGCCGGGCCGGGCCGGGTCAGTTAAATATTTTTTTTTTAATTTAGATTTTTTACTTTATGGTTTTATACAAGTATTAAAAAACAAACTTCAAGTGCATTTATTTGAAATGAAATAGGAACTACATTTGAAAATTAAATAAGAACTATAATTGTTTTTAAAACATGAAATACTAATCAATCATTCAATATTGCAATCGGAATCTCCGGCATAGTTAGAGCCACCCTCGGTTGTAGATTCATCCATAAAGTGTTGGGATGGGGTGATGTCAATTTCTTGAGCTCTACGGGCTGCTTTCAACCAATCGTGGTAGCATATAAGCATCTCAAGAGATTCAGCGCTCAAGCTCGTTCTGGTTTGTGTTAGGACATTGTCGGCCGAACTAAATTCTTGTTCCACGGCAACCGTTGAAACCGGCATTGATAGCACTTGCTTAGCCATCTTTGCTAAAACCGGGAACATTCTTTCTTTTCCCTTCCACCAGTTTAGTACGTCAAAATCATCATCTTCAAAATCAACATCATAAGTTAAATACAAAGAAATCTCATTAATTGTGCTTTGTTGTGTAGCGGGAGTTAATTTCGTTTTTTTTTAATAAGATTGGCAAACGTAGATTTGAAAATTGATTTTCCTTTAGATGATGTTTGTGTCGGGGGAGGGGGCGCATTGCCATATTGTGCATGAAACTCATTGAATAATGCATAAAATATATCACTAACCTCGTTGTATTCTTTTTTCGGATCAATTGGGTTGTCCTCATACATTGGCAATTGACCAAAAAAAGCAGCATAATAATAATTCAAACATTCTTCTAAAGAACCAAGTCAAAAACGAGGATCGAGAACAAATGCAATACCATAAATATGCGGAATATGTGAATAATATTTTAAAAACTTTTCCTTCATAAAACTAGCAAAATAACTCACATAATCAGCATTCTCAAAATTTGAAAAAGCACCGGCGAGATTAACAGCTTCACGAATAAATTGGTTTGAGGTGGGTTTATAAACATGGCTAAAAGTTTCAGTTGCATTATTAAAATATATCAAAGCATTACAAATTTTTTCACAGGTGTCGATCTCAGCCGAGTTTATAATATAATTATCATATTGTTTCATAAAAGCAGGAAAATGTTGTTTATATCTAAGAAGAACTCCAATTAACTTATAGGTACTATTCCAACGAATAGACAAATCTTTAGGAAAAGCCACATATCTCTCACCTCTTTCTATCAAATAATCATGCCATTTTTTTCTAAGTTGTTCATTACCCCAAATACGTCTAATCCCCCCCTTGACTACCTCCAACGATGCTCCCAACGCTTTTAGACCATCTTGCACACATAAATTTAGAACATGACATGCACATCGTTGATGAAAAAATCTACCCATCAAAGAAGTAGAACCACACAATTCACGCAATCTAGGAATAGCAGCAGTATTATTAGTAGCATTATCAAAACCAATAGCAAACACCTTATCAATTAAATTATACTCAATTAAAATACGCTCAATCAAAATATAAATATGTTCAGCGGTGTGACGATCATTAAATTCACGGAAAGCAAGAACACGTTTATGCATATGCCAATCATTATCAATATAATGTACAGCCAGACCCAAATAATGAAAATTATGATAAGTATCCTCCCATATGTCAGAACATACAGTAACATGTCCATCAAAGTTTGCAAAATAATTTTGTAACCTTACCTTTTCCGCACCATAAAGCCTTGAAATTTCTTTCTTAACCATTTTGCGACTATAACCTCTGTATTGCGGATTTAAACAAGTCTGTGCATAATCACGAAAAGCAAGACTTTCAGAAAACAAATAAGACAAATTTTCTTCAACAAGTAAGTTAGCCGTACCTGTCAAATTTTGTGCATCATTGTATGAGAAATTACCAAAAGCTTGTTGGTTATTTGCAAACCTCGATATTTGCGTTTGCTTCCCCGTTCCGCCGCCTAATTTTGCATACTCCACCGGGTGTTTGGACTTAAGATGTCTTCCTCCACATCGTCGTCCTCGTCCTCGAGCTCTTCTTCGTCAATGGTCCTCGGTTGGTCTTGAAAAAAGCGAGAATTATGTCGGTGCAATTCTTGTTCTAGTTGTTCGTCGGTCATCGCATCCCCATCCCTCCTTGCGTAACCCGTATCAAAATCATCTCGACTTTGAGATGAAGAGCAGATATGTGATTTACCTTTGCGGGATCTCTTCCTCGCAAGCTCTTTCATTCGGTTGCGCTCGAGGTTACCCATATCAACCGAATATCTAGGACGATCCATCTAAAAAATGTAGCGATTAATAAAAAATTGTAAAAAACTAATTAACTATTTATGTAACTATTAAATCGAGTTATGGCAAATTAACTAGTGAATTAACTAGTTTTGTGTACAACATATTTTTTAAACTAGAGTCAAATGTAGCAATTAATAAAAAATTGTAAAAAACTAATTAACTATTTATCAAACTATTAATTCGAGTTATAGCAAATTAACTAGTGAATTAACTAGTTTTGTGTACAACATATTTTTTAAACTAGAGTCAAATGTAGCAATTAATAAAAAATTGTAAAAAACTAATTAACTATTTATCTAACTATTAATTCGAGTTATAGCAAATTAACTAGTGAATTAACTAGTTTTGTGTACAACATATTTTTTAAACTAGAGTCAAATGTTGCAATTAATAAAAAATTGTAAAAAAGTAATTAACTATTTATCTAACTATTAATTCGAGTTATAGCAAATTAACTAGTGAATTAACTAGTTTTGTGTACAACATGTTTTTTTAAACTAGAGTCAAATGTAGCAATTAATAAAAAAATTTAAAAAAGTAATTAACTATTTATCTAACTATTAAACTAGAGTCAAATGTAGCAAATTAACTAGTAATTAAACAAGTGTAAATAATAGAATAATTTCGTACCTCTTTCGGACTTTCGGTCTTTCGGATGGGAGTAATAGAATGACTTCAAATTAATTAGATATAATTCCAACTATATTAATAGATATAATAAATATATAAGTGATGGAGTATATGGGTCTGAGCCCCCGGACCCACATACTCAGAAGAACAGAAAGCACAAGACACTGAGTGGCGCCCTCGTCGGCCAAGGGACCCCCGTCGGCCGAGAAGGTGTCAACTCAGATTATGGTCCTGAGCCCAAGGAACCCGGGTGCCCTCATCGGCCGCGCCCTCGTCGGCCGTGCCCTCGTCGGCCACGCCCTCGTCGGCCACGAAGACCTCACAGAACCGGATTTTACACTTACTCATTTGTACAGCCCATTAGTGGCTTTGTATTCGGCCCAGTAGCGGTCCAGTTGTAAATGGGCCTCCCAAGCCCAAGGCATGGGAGCCCAGCCCGTATTTTCTCTATAAATACTCCCCTTGGGAGTAGTTATAGGGGTTACAAATTCATTCTATTGAAGCATATTATTGCACTTCTCTCTCTAGCTCTCACTTCTCTCTAGATATACTCTATCAATAAGTAGTATATAATTAGATAACAAATATAAGTAATATAATACTATTTATATATATTTATAGTTTATATAAGTAGATAATTAATATAAACTATAAATAATAAATATAATATATTGGAGAATGGAGAATAAGAGAATTAGAGAGTAGAGAGTTAAGAATAGGATTTAGGAAGAATTGGAGAAGAGATATGAAAAAATGTTTAAGATTAGGAGTATTTATAGGTTTTTTTACCCCCCCCCCCCCCCCCGGACCCCCCTGCACCCCACCCAACGGCTATATAGCCGTTTGGGTTGTCCCCAGCCAACCCATAATGGCTAGTAGCAATTTAACAAAAAAAAAAAAAAAATAAGACCGTTGGACCCGGACCCGGGCCCGACCCGGCCGGGCCGAGTCACATTTTTACGGAACCGTGCCCGCCCCGCCCCGCCCCGCCCATTCCCACTGGTTCGGGTCCACACCCGGTCCCGGACCGCCCGACCGGGCCGGTCCCGGGCCCGCACAGTACCGGGCCGGGCCGGGTCACGGGCCGGGTGGCCCGAACCGAATCCACCCCTACATCATATACACAGAAATTCAAAGTTACAAAATATTTCAAATGTATGTATATATTCTCTAAAGAGAATGATTATATTCCTTGTAAGTTATTTGGAAATTGATACTTCATGAACTTGAAATATAGTATTAGTGTATAAAGTATTATACGGAGTAAAACACTAGATGGATTTTTTTTCAAATTATACAATTTTGTATAACCAACTTGATAAAGCACTCCATTATATAGACTGAAATTCAAAATTACAAAATATTTGAAACGTTTGGATTCTCTTTAAAGAGAATGATTATGTTCCTTGTAAGTTATTTGGAAATTGATACTCCATAGTCCATACTATATTTGGATATCAATACTATGCATTAAGAACTAAATTGCAACTAATGACTATTCATTAATTGTACTCAATAACAATTGTGAGTTAAATCCAACATTAAACAGTAATAACTGTTTAAACTATAGAAATAAATGTATGAACACCCTATTTTAATGTGGAAATCCGAAACTGTGAAAATCACGAGACTTTCCACTCTAATGTCCAAGTCACTCTCATTTTCGTAAGACCCTACTCAACATTTGCATGGAGAGAACAATGTTGTCCAATTGTAGTGAACATTAACATACGGAAGAAATAGTTATTTACGGAGTATTATTTAGTTTGAATATTATCTAGCTTCGATATTCAATATCCTTCAGAAATAATTAGAAAATAGGAATTGCATTATTGGTTAAAGAAACTGTGAAAGTTTCATCAGTTTCATGGTTTAAAAGACAGTTCATTAAGAGAAAAAAGAACAAGATTATGAGAGCCTAAAGGTAAACAAAATCAAGGGCCAAAAAAGACAACATTATTAATTGTTGCCACACTATAGTCTGTACACATGAAAGCGAAGCTAAGCCTCAGTTTAATTATCCCATAATTGACAGATAATAACCTTCACATTCTTTAATCTTAACTACATACACTACCCTAGCTAAGCAAAAAAACTAGGCTTCATTTACTACAGCCCACCAAAGTCCCACAAATGAATTGTTCCATCCCTAGAACAGGCTGTTAAATGCCTTTCATCTACAACCAACGAATGAATGTCCAAATTTCTCTCCCTTAAACTCCGCGAGTACAACCCTACATCCCCTCCCTCAATACCCCAAACCCTAATCACTCCCCCGGCTACTGTTATAGCAAACCCGCCATTCATGCATCCCAAAACGCCCCCATGCGATGCGCCTCGGACGTTAAAAGAGCATCTCTGTGTTAGGTCATCCGCGCGACGCACACTGGCTGAACCACGGCTGTCAACGATGAGGAACGAGTCCTTACATGCATCAAACGCACCAATGACTAGTCCCCGAGGGAACTGATCTTCCTCCCCGATAATCACGCCTTGGTTTGAGAGGTCAAAGACAATAAATTGGAGGGCGGTGCAGGCCACGGCCGAGTCAAAGCTCGTGACCCTGACTCGGCCGATCATGTGGGCCTCCTCCGTGAGAAGGTGCCATCCCATTACTGCCTCCGGATCACTAAGATTTCCGCCTATGAAGACTAGCTCTTCACTTGCTGTGTTCCATATGTGAAACGCCCGCCCTGGAACTCCTGAAAAAACGTCCAATCTATATTGATTCAAAATGCTTTTACCACTTGATTAAAACAGATGATTTTGCCACTTTAATCATAAAACGTCCCTTTTCAATTGAACTTTTCTATGGCTCGAAATTATTCAATTTTTACAAATGAAATATGCACACGGTTCAACTTTTTAATAATACTCGTGAAAACGTTTATAGTAAAAACTTAGTGAAAACAGTATTCATAGTAATAACAAAATCCAATCTTAAAAATAGGAGTATCATCTAGACTAGTTTTCATTTAGTTTGGCATGTTTGAGTGTGAGGTCAAAATGTTCATGTTCAATGTTTTTTTATAAATAATTTTCATGGTTTAACACGTTTAAAAAAATTCTTTAAATAGAAATAAAAGATAAGTATATACAAATAAAATCATCATTCTTTTTTTTTCAAAAAAAGAAAGTTTTCACTTCTATTTAAGTAAATTTCATGTTTTTAGTAAATTTCATGTTTTCACTTCTATTATTTGTTCATTTGGTTTTTGGCAGTTCATTACCAAACATAGTTTGTGTGAAAACAAAAAAATTAAGCATAGATACTCGGGACCTCTCCCTTGTGGCACCATTTCCTATCAGGTGACTACGCCCCGCCCCCGGTCAACGAAAACGTAGATACTCTAATTTATGCACTTTGTGTACATTTTATTCCAATTTTGAGCAATTTTCTTAATATGTTTTCAATATCTTCAAATATTACTCTTCTGGTTTTATACCATTGGTATAACGTTTTTCAGAAATGTTCTATATGGAGCTCAAAATAGACAAAATATATAAAAATAATAATGATAATCTTATTTGAGCAATTTATGTTTAAAGCTTATTTATGGAAGTATCTCAATGTATTTTGATTTACTTTCTTGTTTTTTTTGGCAAAGATTTACTTTTTTGCTAGTCCCTAAAATTTCAGGAACAATCCATTTAAAAAGGCATGGAACATATTAGAGAGATGATTTTTGCATGATTTTTATAAAAATTGGTGTGCAATAAGATTTTTTAAAATGGATTAGAAACATAATTAAATTTTTTTGATAGATTAAATTGATTAAAAATTGATCAAATTTAAATAGGTTTACTTTGAAAGCCAAACGGTTAGTGCACCTGCATAGAGTCCAACCCACCAGCGCTCGTTACCGGCAAAGTCAACCAAAGATCCGTCGTTGACCACGTCGCCAAAATGTGCTCGACGCGGCGGCACGTGATCTCCGATGGCCACCACGTGAACGTCGCCGTCGAGGGAGGCAAAGACGAGCTTCGAATCCGTTAAAATGATCCCGGACACAGCGCAGGAGAACCGACCGAGGCGGTCACGGTGGTGCGGGTGGAACGTGGAGAGGTGGAGCCGTGTGGGGATGTAGAACAGCCGAACCGATCCATCGGAAAACCCGGCGGCGAGGTGGTGGTCAGAGAGTGAGAGACGGCGGCACGAAAGCCCGTCGTTGCTGCCGTTGTTGGGCGGTATAAAATGGAGGGTGCTGTAAATGTATCGGCCCATTCGGAAATTATTCGCCGTTTGATGCCAAAATATAAACTCGTGCCGCCACGAGTCGCGGAGGAGGTGGCGGCGGTTCCATATCCGGGCGGTGAGGTTGTGCCATAAAAGGTTTGAATGTGACACTGCTTGCCATGTGGAACACACCTGCATCGTAGCCGTCCATTTTCAGTTATTCATCTCATTAATAATTTGCCCTAATCTTATTCTATTTGGAATTCCACACCTATCAATAACTAAGAACATTTTTAAATAAAATTTTGTTTTGCTTTGATATTAAAATTGTATATGTATAGTTCAATTTTTTTAAAAGTGACATAAATATAATCATTCATGAGAGTCTTACCTAACAAAGAAATAAAGAGTTCATTTTGGATATTCCTGAAACAGAAAAGTAAAAAATTGTTTTAGGTAGGAGGAAGAAACATGACATTCAAATTAATCCATTTTTTGTCTCCATTAATTTTTTATATTGGAACTAATAATGAAATAGGGAAATAGAAAATAGTTCACAAAGCAAAGGAAGACATACCCATTAAAGATTAAAAACGAAATTTTGCCACAAATTAAAAGTACATTAAACGAGAAACAAAATCTAGGGCAAAAAATAGACTTTTGTTTATTTACCTTTAGAGTGATCAAATAATAGGGAAGGTATCGCAATCTATAGTATGTAATCTATGCTATATCTGTAGTACGTCGTATGAAATACACAATGATGTTTTTATTACTTCTTACATCAGAATTTAAATTCTGATGTGATTTGATCTGGTTTGATATGATCTAATATGAACGGATCTGATTTGAATGTCTGATCTTTATGTAATTAATAACTGAAACTGTTCCAGTATAGTAGGGTCTGGGATCAAAAAAAATCCAAGTAAAAATATCCAAGTCACGATATATATAATTGAATTATAATTTTCTAGTTTACTCTAGTCTGATTAATTTAATCGTAACCTAGTCTAAAATGTTTTATTCAAATCTAATCTAATCTTGAAGTAGTTTGATGTGATTAATTTAAATATGATCGAGATTGGGATTGAAACGAGCCACATTATACACATCCAAAATCAAACGGGCATTATAAAAAATGTATCGGATTCTAATACAAAGTACTTGTGATTTATTTATTCTAATATCGGATTGATTCTAATACAAAAACATGATACTCCTATTTTGGAATTTCAAAACTTTTCAATTATTTAATTCAGGGATAACTATTTTCCGGACTTTTTCTGTTATTCTTTTCGAATATCCAAACGTTTTATTCCTTTGTATTGTAACATAACAAATAAAATTGAAATATTGATGTTCTTTTCCACACTGACCATCGCAATTCCCCAATTCGTGTAATGACTGATTAGACGCATATACTACTAGTAATTAATGCTACGTACTAAGATCTATGAAAATGAAAAAGCAGCCGCTGCCAAATAAATTCCCGCCGACCTATGGTCGCATAGTATAGGTCTTTGGCCGCGTATAAATAATTATTACTCCGAGTCTTTATTGCTCCTTAGCAATCCCATATTAATACTTTGCTCAATTTACAAAACAAAAGGCAACCCTATTTTTAGAATTTAACATTACCTTCCTTCCAACTTAGTATAATTTTTGAAACAAATACAAAAATGTATAATTCTCAATTTTGTATTATACAATTAAAATGTCCAAAATAGATTTTACAAGTAAATGAATTGCTCACTCCACTCTTTGCATATGATACTATTTCATTCTCTCAAAGATGATTTCTCTCTCAGTTACCCAAGAACACTCCCTAAAGGGGCCTCATACATTTGACAAATCATAAAAAACTAAAGCGCTGAATATACATATCATAAGAACGGCGTTTGGTACATTAAAATCATTTGGAACACAGTTAAGATATTCGACTCGGTGATCAAAAGTTGTACCCTCGATTATATTATTTTTACATAATACCTTTCATCGTAAAGCAAAAGATTCATTATTTTTTGATTTAAGATTATGATGGAGTAAAGCAAAATGGTTCACTGAAATGTCTGCGCTTCTTTGTTATGAAGCAGCAGTCAGTCCATGCAGTTTTGGGCGGGATTTTCACTATCGGTCATCCGGAAACCGTCTCTCTGTGCTTTAGTACAGGGGTAAGATTGTGTACATTCGACCTCCTTACTTCATAATAGGCTGGGAGCCTTTGTCACACCGGAGTAAATGAAAATGAAAAATGAAAATGTAGTACGGAGTACCTATCATGGTAATTGTGAGAATTGGAACCCCAAACTTACCGTTACCGGCACCCGATGGAGTGGCGGCATGCGTATCTAGAAAATCTAGAGTGAAAAGGCAGGGATATTGATGTGATCGAGGAGAGGTATAAATAAAAACGTAGCTCAAAATGCAGTATATGGGACGGAAAGAGTTGCCGGTGGGCGTAGTTCAACTGGCAGGAAGGGTGTGTCACAAGGGTTAGGTCCTGGGTTCGAATCCCGGCGACTGGGATGAGAGGTTACTATGCTAAAAATGCATAAGACCTCTGCAAGTACCGGGGACAGAGCCTCACTCTCTACCTGTCAGATTGGGATTATAATTCAATTTACATCCTCTCAACGTACCGTCCGGTCGGGGTTGGAGGTGGGGTGTCATCCTTTTTTTATGGGAGGGAAAGAGTTGCTTTAACTGGAGGCCAGGGACGGAATAAGTATGGTACGATCACAGAAAGCCAGCTTTGTTGAGTTGCTAGGATCGAGGTTTAGTAGAAAGAAGATGGATGGATGGGATCTATCAATTCAATTCATTACTATAGCTTCTGAGCTATCTATCTAGCAGAGCAAAGCTACTCACTTGAATTCCTCTTTCATTTCCAAGAACAAAAAGGAAACCTGACCATATCCATCCTTTTTAAAGCTTTCGCCTTGCACCGAATCTTACTCCATCTATCAAATGTCAACTTAAATACCCTTTTTGCTTCTCCTCTCCCTCTAGTCTCCAAACGGTACTTACTCCGTACCAAATTTGCATTTGACCAATCCAATAACGTCAAAAATTACCGAGCATTACGCTACGAAAATATTACGAGATTCATACAGAATTTGGCATGAAATTTGGCATGGATTACCGATTTTTTGTGCCATATAGGTCATGCTAAAATATTTTTTGCTCGAATTTGACATTTTCCTACCAAAATCCCAGCCAAATCCCGTGTTTTTTTGTAGTGTTAGTAGACTAAGGTTAGGATAGTGAGCCAAACAATTTGACGCAATAATTGAGCGAAGTTGCTAATGACACGAGACAATTGGGCGTGCACAAAAAGAATTTTATGTTGGAAGCAACACCTCACCTAAAATGCTCCACATATGGGTCGTTTCCACCAAACACTAGGATATTCACATTTTAGATTATCTTTTACAAAAAAAAATTGTACACGCTCTTATACACACTTTTGTACACAACTATATTTGTGAAAGTTTTTTTTGTCTGTGAACATCGATTCACAGACAATGTTTTGCAAAAATAAAATATAGTTTATGAACCGGATTCACAGACAAAAAAAAATGCTTTACAAAAATGGTGTGTAGAAGGGTGTGTACATCAAGCAACTTTTTTATTTCCTACGTCCCGCTAGAAGGTTCGTCTGAACGGATTACGATGCTTGACTGACGATAAAGCAACTTAATCCATGTTCACACTGTGATTGTTTTTAGTAAATAAAATTAACATATTCAGAAACTACATTAAAAGCGCTGCAAAGCCTGATAAAAAAAATATAAATTTGGTAAAAATTTGATTTATAAAGTAAAAGATTAAAAATGATTTAAGTTGACCAAGAGAATAGTGGACGGGAACCTTCTAATGGGACATAGGGAGTATCATTTATGATATTGAGAAAATGAATTTTACTATGTCTATTCATTATTACCATGTAAACCGTATCCCAAAATGTGGAATCATCCACCCTAAGCGCCCTCATAACCGGTTCCGACAAAATGAAGGAGAACTAAATCTTACCTAAACTCTTCATATGTATATATGGTGCGTGTTAAAGAACTTTATTTCTTTAATTTATTTGGCATGAAAATGTAATTCAATAATAATTCTAATATTTGTGATAATTAGTAACCGAACGGCGTCAAACGATGTTAGAATTGAGCTAACCACTTTTTTTTAGCCCTAAAACTGACATTTCAAGAACTTAAAATATAGAATAGTTTCCTAAATGTTCGTGTTATTGAAATTAGAAAGTTCTTTAACAGAAAGGTTAACACACAAAATAAAGAAATTGAATAAGAGGCTAGTGTGCATAACTATTACTCCATCCGTTCCTAAATAAACTTCCAACTTTCCTTTTTCGTTTGTTCCAATTAAAACTTCCACTTTCCATTTTTAGTAAAGAATTTGTGGTTCACAACATTTCTTACACATTTCTCTCTCCTCTGCACAACTATCCACCACACAATATCCACTATCTTAAATTATGTGTCAAACCTATTTCGAAGTTTTAATAGGAACGGAGGGAGTAATTTACAATTGAAAATAATCAGCATTTTAGTCAAATCGCTACTATCCAAACAGGGGCCTATACTACATTTAGAGGATAATTTAATACACAAAGTGACAAAGAGCTCTTTGATCGTCCTGTTTTTCATCTTTAGAGTTTATCAATCAACTTTTGCATAAAATGCGTGACTTTTGATTTTGTGTATTGAATTATGTAATCATTTTAAGTTAGAGTTTTTTTTCTATTTAAGTTACTATAAATAATCATTTAACTATTTTTATATTTTTTTCTTTATTTCATTAATAAAATAAATTTTATTTTATTTTTTAAATGAGCCAATCATATCACTTCAACTAAACTTTCAATAGAATCAGTCAATGGAACTGATTTAGATACTCCATATTATTAAAGGACGTCTTTTTTTATATTATTTGTTGACTGCTGGTTCGGTTTATATATGAGTAGATGTTAAGCTTATATATGCTAATATGCACGTCATGAAAATGCTAATATTAAGTCAAAATTAGCATATAAGGAGATTGAATATTGTCGAATACATGATTTCTTAAAGTGATTTTAAACAGTAATAGCGCCATGAAAATGCTAATATTAAGTCAAAATTAGCATATAAGACCATCTCCAACAATCACTAAAACCTTCACCAAAATAGAGTAATTGCCATTTTTTAGCTCCAATAGTTACACCAAATCCTACCCTATTTCATTAAAATGGTGGAGGGGTTTATTTTTTACGCCATATTTGGCGCAGAGTAGGGATGCGCCATTTTCTCCTTCTATTATTTCTTTTTACAAAAGTGACCCAAAGTTGGGATGCGCCATATTTGTGTAGAGATAGGACGCACCATACTTTGTCTTTATTAGCATTTTATTAATGAAGTAGGAATTATTATAATATTATTGTAATATTTAATTTTACATGATTTAGCTTGTATTTGTAAAATATTGATTATTGTATTTTAATTAGTGAAATGCGTGAAAATACATATTAAAATGGTGTATTTTAGTTTGTATGTGTGAAACAATGTGTGAAATGTCAAAATATTAAATGAGGGGTTAATGTATAAATATATGATAATTAGATACTTAAATAGAAAAATGGTAAAAAGTTAGTAAAAAAGAATAAAAAGGGAATATTCCTTTTTGGTGATGAAAATGGTGTAAACTGTTGGAGATAAAATACTGTATGATGTGATGTTTACACCATTTTAGTGTAGTAAATGGTGTAAACTGTTGGAGATAAAAAACTGTTGGAGATGGCCGGGGAATGAATATTATCGAATATATGATTTGTAAAAGTGATTTTAAACAGTAATAGCGCCACAAAAGGGGATCTCTTGTTATCCTTTCGCCGCAAACTAAAGCTCCCCTACCTACTTAATACGGAATACTAAAGTGGCATCCCAAAAACAATGATTGAAGAGTTTCATTCTTTTTTAGGATATCGTTAAGGGTGGACATGGTTCCGTGACCTAATTGTGTACATATGCCTTTTGTTTTAAAAAAGACAACATTGTATGTCAAATTGAATATGTACATAAAGAATGAAAATGGGGTATTTATTTAAGGTATAAAGAAAAGAGAGTTCTTTATTTTCTCGGATCCCATATCCTGCCTTTTCCTTCCACGTGAACGAAACCTACATTGATCGACACATTTTTCCTTTGACAGGTGAATGACATTCTTCTATATTCATACATTTTGGCCTTTTCCGTTGTCTATGTGTTTTCTATGAAAAGACAAATGGTCTAAAATGAGAGAGAACAAATTAGTGTTATTCTCATACCTATCATTCTGCAAAAAGAAAAAAGATTTGAAATAAAAGAGAAAACAAAGTTCTAAAATATTCTTTAAATGCGCAAGTTTGAAATGAAAGTCTATTCTCAGCAAATAAAGAGTCATCTTATCTGTCAACTCTTGTTATAGGCATATCTTTTACCAGTTCACCTTTCTAAGGTTATGATTACACAAAGAAAGGAAAAGTGACAACCTAAAGGTGAACTGGCAAATGAAATGCCTAGAACAAGAGATTGAAGAAAATGGCACCTCCGTATCCCCCGAGAATAGACCTTTGCATTTCAAACATTTGCATTTAACGAATGGTCTTAGAATTTTGTTTCTCTTTCATTTCAAACCTCAAACCTTTTTGAGGTTGAGAATAACATTATTTTGTTCTATCCTTCATTTAAGACCTTTTGTATTTTCAAAAAAAACATAGATAACAGAAAAGGCCAAAATATGCATGAATAGAGAAGCATGTCATTTACCCATCAAAGGAGAAATCCGCCACCGAATGTGGATTTCGATTAACGTGAGAGGAAAAGGGAGGACATGGGACCAAGAAATTAAAAAACTCCCTTTTCTTTACACCTCAAATAGATACCTCATATTATGTACACCTCAAATAAATACCCCAATGTACACCGCAAATCACCTACATGAGAACCATACTAAGGGCAGGTACGCCCACTGTACTTGGAAACAACTAGATTTGAGAATGATTCTATTTCTCCAAAATAAGACATATACATTCTTGTTTTGTATTTGGGTTAGGTGAATAGGATAGAAATAATGTTATGCCACAACCCTATTACACCCAAACTTAGGGGTGGACCCAGGCCAGGTCGGTTCCGGGCCGGGCATGGGCCCGGGCGGGCATTTTTTTTTGGGAAATAGTGAACCGGAACCGGCCCGGGTTGATACCGGGTCCGGGCCGGTCCTGTCCAATGTTTTTTTTCTTTCTAATTAACCCCCGACCCCCCCCCCTCCCTCACCCCCAGCCCAGACCGCCCTGGCCGATTCAAGAAAAACATGGCCCGAGGCCCGGCCAGCAAGGCCCGGCCAACCCAGGCTAAAGCCCGGAACCAGCCATCCGGTCTCGGTCCGGTCCGGGCCGGGCCCGCACAGTAGCAGGCTGGTCCGGTTCACGGGCCGGTTCGGCCCAGCCCAGTCCACTCCTACCTGAACTGACCTTGCCCATAGAATTCCAGTTCCTCTTGTAATGGAATATGAGGTCAGGGTGGTAAATGAACGAATGAGAGCTAACTAGATTGCAACGAAGATGAACGCCCAAGCAGACTTCCAAACTCCAAAGGTTGTAGCTGTAATGCTGTATAGAGTTGTGCATGAATTTTGTTTAAAGGTAACTCAGTAGCTAGGCATGGAATCCACGAGGCTATGTTAGGAAGCCACATAAGGTAGACTCTTGGCATTTGACATATCAATAGGCTCTTTACGATGGAAAACATTTGTCACGATGATGAGATGCCGTTCTTGGGGCCTTTTATTTAATTTTGAAAAGGGCCTTCAATATTTGAGGATCAACGTTTTTCTTCTGTAACTTTTATGGTTCACTGTTTCAGCCATCCATTCCGCATGTTTAAAGCAATAAAAATACAACCATGCTTGATGTACACACACTTGTACACACCTTATACACACCATGTTTGTGAAGTTTTTTTTTGTTTGTGGACCAGATTCATAGATAATATTTAGTTTGTGCAAAACATTGTCGGTGAATCGATGTTCACAGATAAAAAAAAGCTTTCACAGACATAGATGTTTACAAAAGTACGTATAAGAGTGTGTACAAACATCATTTTTTGATAAAAATAACCTTAATGATCATAGGTTAGACTTTGGCTTCGAGTTCATCTAAAAAAGTGGGTCAAAGGGATGGGATTGAGTTTACTGGTCGAGATCTTAAAGAGGGAGATTTGGCAAAAAATCAAAAAAGCCCTTTTTGGTCTTTGAGATGCAACAGTTTACCAATAATAGGCACTACCCAAAAAATGGACTATTTCAGAGATAACAAAGAAATAAAAGCTATCACTACACTTTTCCATCTACAGCTACAATTTATAAGCACACAGCTTTGCTGTTATTATCTCATATATAGGAGCCCTGATCCTGAAAAGTACTCTACATGAAAAAATCCTAACCCTAACACCCTTCTTTTTATTGTTTTCTTGTTTAAAATAAAATGAAAATTATCAAAACAAGAAAAAAAAACAAGAATGTAAGAAAAAACCATTGGTTTTCATTCTTTAGTATTATCATTTGCCCTAACATTATTATTTCTTGCAGGTCTTTTATTCGTTTAAAAAACAAAGAAAACTAAATTTAAATCTTAGTTGGCGCAATTAATTAGAGAAGTGTTTATGGGTGGAGTTGATTTGGTCAAAGATACGCACTCATACTAAGTCCCAAGAAAAATGATTATTAGTATGATCTCCCAACTAGCTTTACAATTATGATACCAATTATCTTGGATTAAAGATCAAATCTTTTTCGTCATTGTTCTCCATTTTTTAGTGTTAAAGAAAATCTTTAAAGAAAACTGTTCAGATAAGGCGAAAAAGGGGCTTAATAAGCGCAATAAACGGGCCATATTAGAAGGATCAGAAACAGTGTTGAAGAAAAAACACACAAAAAATGCATACCTGGAACAGACTGGCAAGAACTGGGGCAGCGGCTAAACGGCCGTTGGTGGTAACGGCGTCAACGGCGACTTGATAAGCTAAAGCCTCCACGAAAGGGCCCGGCCAAACGCCGTTTCCGCCGCGCCGGCGGCTGCGAGATGAAGACGACGGCCCTGCTTCGAAACCCATCACTCTTCTGTCAACCCGTTCCGAGGAGGAAAACGAAGACGACGACATTTTCTTTCACTCAATTAACTACGTAAGAAATACTGTAAAGTATACCATGAATGAAGAAGGTGTTATTATATGAAATGAATATCATCATATCTATGCATGTTATATATACATTTGAATATAAATGTGTATGGGAAGTAGTCTTTCTTGAAGTGACGAGTAAACAAAAAGGCTGGTAGAAATGGACAGCGGTGAGAGATAGAGACAGAAAGAAAAGCTACTCTTTGAGTGTTTCAAGACAGTAATAAGCGCGCAGTTGAAGAAGAACTAGCTAGTTACAGCAGATACTTGTATTTATTTACATTTATTGGCGAGGGATTTGAGGAATCGATGCTGGATTACAAGCGTTTATGTGTTTTGGGTTTAGAGTAAGTAAATAAATAGAGAGAAAACAAACAAATAGAAAGTGATTTGCATAAAAATGGTTATGGAATGTTGGGTAAGCGATCGAGCATACGTGAATGGCTCTACCAATTCGTGAATGAAGCATGGATTTATTTGACTACATACTAGCGACTAGCGAGTACACAGTCCCCGAAACAAGTTAATGTAGAGTACACTGTTTTGTACCGTTCAAATACCGTTTGTCACTGTTTGACACTGTTTTGATGTAGATAATTAGCCAAATAAGGAAAGTAAGGAAGTGTGAACTTAATCTAGGGACTGCCCAAAAAGGAAAGTGGTATCTTAATTGCGGGACGGAGGGAGTATTTATGTTGCGTTTTAAATGATTCACAACCAATAAGGTAAATAGATCTCTGTTCTCAGCTCAAATTATTTTTAAATTTTTTTACAAATTCAGAAACTACATTAACATCTTTACAAAATCGCAAACATCAAAATCAAATTTGATTAAAAAAATCATATATAAAGTAAGAGATTGATAGTGATTTGTATTGATCAAATGAATAGAATCCTGAAACATCAAATTGGGGTTGAGCTAGTACATCATATCGAACTAGATCAAATTTAAATATATTAGATTGGATTTAAATAAATCAAATCAGATCAAACTAGACTTAAACTAATTAAATTAGACAAAACTTCATCATTTATAAAATACACAAAAGTCAGACATCTTACAAATATACTTGTGTGCCACGTCAACAAAGTCACCGTGAATTAGGTTCCCACATATGTGTCACGTGAGAGGGTGATTTGGTGATGTGATAGATAACCTTCCAAAGAATTCAAATACGTAGTATAAAGTTCAAATATTTGATTAATAGATAATCTTACAAATATACTTTTGTGACACATCAACAAAGTCACTGTAAATTAGGTGTCACATATGTGTCACGTCAGCAGGTGATGCTCGTTTTTATAAAGTTCAAATATTTGATTAATTTTTTAAAAAATCTAAGACCCTAATTGACATAAGGGCACAAATGGATAGTTTTCTTTAAAAAATGAGACAGGAGCTAAACTAAACTCAGAAAAAGGGACATTTAAACTTGAGAGTGTAAAGAGGTATGAAGGCTGCGGTCTCTAGTCTTAGTACTAATACATTGTCAATCTAAACAAAAATTACATTTAGTATTTTGATTTATTATTTACACATAAACAAGACCCTATTGAAGGGTATAGAGCCCGTGGTGTAACATTGAAATTGGCTGAATTGGTTGATTCTGCTAAAATTTATGAAGTTCTCGTTGAAGTGGCTGAATTGACTGATTCAACTATTTTATGAAAAATTATATTTGAAATATTTTTCATTAATAAAATAAAGAAAAAATTATATGAAAAAATGGTTAAAATGACCCTCTACAATAATTAATCCAATACAACCACAAAACTAACGCTAACGTTACTTTTTCTTATCATTGTCAAATTGTTAGTAACAAGATTAACCCCAAACGAAGTGGGTGGAAATTCAAAAGACCATAGAGTTTTTCATATTAATTTTAAAAATATGAAAAAGAAATCATTAATATTTCTGAAACAATATGTCTTCTTGATATATGAGTTCACTAGTTTTATTCTCATTCTAACAGCTCAATGACATCCATGTTGAGTGGAAACGATATGCACAATGAGTGAAAATCGCCCATGTATGCACAATTGTACTCCCTCTGTTCCTAATAATTTTATCAAGTTTGACCGACACGGGGAATAATAAAGTAAAAACTATGTGGTTAAGGTTTGTGCAGACGAGAGAGAATTAGAGAATGAACTGGAACCACAATATCTTTACTTAAAAGGGAAAGTGGCAAAATTAGTGCGACATCCAAAAAATGAAAGTTGGAAAAGTTATAAAGAAAAGAGAGAGTATTAAATACTATTCCTAAAAATAAGGAAATAAGTTTACATATGGTAACCGCTCCATGTATGTCATGTTAAGTTTGATCATACCTTACATACAAAAACATGTATGTATAGTCATATTTAGGATGAGTCTCGGGTTTTACTAATATTGAAGTATTAATCCTTAAAAACATTCTAAAATAAATAAATATTATTTTGATTTCTCTATCATTATATAGAAATTGAATACGTAAACAATTGTTAAGAAAGTACATGTCATTTTTTGTTTCTCCTGCCACGACGATCTCAAGACACGTGTCGCGCGGAGACCAACAAGCACGTAATGATTACGGTTGCCTAGGAAGTTGAACCGGCCGCCATAACTGTCACCTAGGATTTCGGGAGCTGCCTAATGAACCGTCACGCAGGATCATCGTAGGGCTCGGGTTGGAGTAGACACACATACTTCCTTATGTCCCACGCACGCTCGGAACATCATAAATGGGGGACTTGTGTTGGGTTAATAGGTCCAACAGTGGATTGGCCCATTACCCCTAACGAGAAAACCATCAAGGCCCCGTTGGGAGGGGCCTAGCAAGGGGACCAACCAAACGGTCATCTAATCGCCGAAGACACTCGACTTTACTTGGCTTGGGCAGAGAGGTCTAGATGATGACCCAAGAGCCACGGGGAGAGAAGTCGGCGTAGGCCGAACGGAGCCTCGTCCTTGTGATTACTTGGGCCCCTGATCAGGAGACCAGGGGACGCTCGTCTAGGCCCTTGGCGGGATAGGAAGATGTTGGCGGGAACCACATTTAATGCAGCACATTTGGTGGTGGGGAGCTAGCTACTCATGAACCTCCACATCATCACTACGACCTACCCCTTGGTAGTATAAATAGTAACATTTATTTCATAGTTAGGGGTTTGTGATTCCATTGGTTTTGGAGTCTTAAGTTTTTACTTTTAATTAGTTTTTGTGGTGTGTTATTGTGGTAATTGCACATTTGTGGTGCAACCTTTTATTTTTCTAGTTTATTTTAATTTATTAGTTTTAGAAGATCTTGAGCTTGAATAAATAAGTCTACAACAAAGGAGCATGGAAGATATCTTACAAGATCAAAAGAATGTGCAAGTGAGCAAGAAATCATGCAAGAAATGTGATTTAGTAACTTACCCAGTCGGGTAACAAGTGACTTCAGGCAAAACGACTTGCTGAAGAACACAAAGACGTGTGAAAATGATATGATTTGACCAATACCCATTCGGGTATCTCAAATGCTCGGTCGTGTATCCGGCGCAACACCTTCAAAACAACTATAAATAGCACTCTTTTCCTTCATATTAATCATCCCTTCTTCCATATACTTGAGCTCTACTTAGAATAGTAATTTCTTCATATTTTTCTAAATGAGGAGCTAAACTTCCAATTCTTGATTTTTGCTCTTGAAGTTTGTTGAATGCTAAAGTTGTGAGTTATTTTCTTACTTCTTCCCTCGAATATTAATTCTTCCTTTATTTCATCTTTATATTAATGTTGGGGAGTGTTGCTAAGATGACAAATAGTTAACATCTTGACAATAATTACTACTAGACGCGATCAATGATCTGATGGTTAATCATCGATGGTTTCACAAGTAAGTAACTTCGGATTATTAATCCACGGTCGCGGTTAATAATCTTAAGAGGGATTAATTGTGTTGGTTAAACCGAAACTGTGGTTTTGAGCTTATCAATCTCAATTGATTTCATTAAGGAGTTAAGATATTAAAAGCTACTATCAAGTCAGTATATGGCGGTGTTCTATACTTGACTAATAGTAAAAGTTATTAATGAACGATCGTTGTTAATAACTATCTTCAATGAATTGGAGATACTATTTGATTGGGTATTCGATAGGGAAAAAGTTATATATATATAACCGGGATCAACAAACATATCAACAAGTAGAAAGTAGCAAAGCCAAGTCTTTTATCTCATTAATTAAAATCATATAAGTCGTTCATCTCAGTGTATATTTAATTAAAATCAAAAAATCCCAAAAAACCCTTTTAATTACTAGTTACATAAAAGAAAAGTATTTCTTTCCTCCTAGATACGAACTTTACTATGTTATACTACGTATAGGTGCTATTGTGCTAGTATTGAATTTATTTTGAGGCACATAACGACTATAGTGCCGTCAGTTGGCAACTTGCATTCTCTAGCAATAGCAACTATTCCACCTCTTCCCACCCCATAGAGACGATCTGTCTAGCGACTTGTAGTGAAGTGTGTTGTAATAGACCATTATTATTGATTAATAAGATACGGCTCACTTACTAGAGTCTTTACTTGTTCATTATTTGCTTGTGTTTCCCAGATACTCATAATCCACGAAAACTATTCCATTCGAAAGTCAAGGGAAGGTGTTGGGCCTTTGAGGTTGAAAGAATAAACTCATCAGGCTTCTTTACTTCTTCTTCAATATTTACAATAAACAGCTTTCACGTTGTTATAACTGCAAGGGTGGACATGTTATTTTTACGTCACCTGCCTAAAAGTTGTCATTCATAAACAAATTGAATAGATCGCTACCACTCGAATAAATTGAGACTGGTCCAGTACCATCCTTGATTGTGTTAACGGTCACCCCCACACATGTGGACAGAGTTGTTAATTTACCTACTAAAACATCATTTGGCTCTACTCATGATCTCTCCATTGTAAATCCATTTATATTTAAATTGTGAAATTAATAGGCTTCTAAGTTCTAAATGGGGTGCGATTTGTGTAGGACCTTCTCGAGTACACTCCAATCCCTGAAACAGCATTCTTCAAGTCTCCAAACGCAATTGATTAGCCCCAGTGAGCTATTTTTTGTTAAAACTCAGAGCAGTTTCGTGAAAATCAACTTCTAATATTGAACTTTTTTAATGACCTTCTCTAAAAGAACAACGTGAATCGATTACCTTCAAATGAGCTATTTTTTGTTAAAACTCAGAGCAGTTTCATGTACGACACTTGGCTCCATCCGGTCAACCGCAACAGTTTCCTGAATTGCAAAATGGGATGCAACTTCTCTTCGAATCATAACCCCCAAGTCACCGATATTCAACCCGATTCATCCTCCGCTAGGGGAGGTACATGCGCCGGCCGCGCCGCCAATAGGCTAACATCGATAATGCAAGCCATGTAACTCAAGAGAAAGCTATCTTAGCAATACCGCATGACCCCCTTCAACCCTAGGCCAAAGCGGCAGTAAATTGCACTCATGTAAAATTTGCCACATAGAAAAACAACACACGAGTAGAGACCTTAATGAGGCATAAAACGGAAATCTAAACCAAACTATAAATTTAAGAGCTCGTTTGGTGATCCTATTTTTCGGCTTATCAATCAACTTCTCACTAAACTCGTAACTCTTGATTTCGCGTTTTGAGTTGCAATAATCAAAATAATTAATGTTGAAGTTACTCATTTGACTGGATTGGTTGAAGTTACCATAGAGAAAATTTTAACTACTCTTCATATAATTTTCTTTATTTTATTAATAGAATATATTTTAAATATAACTTTTCATAGTTCAGCAGAATCAACCAATTCAATTATTTCAGTTAGAACTTCATAAATTTCAGCAGAGCCACTCGATTTAACCAATTTCACTGTTACCAAACAAGCCCAAAAAGTAATCCAATAAAATATAAAAGTCTTATTTATGCAATTCAACATTATTTTATGAGGTGTTATGAATTAATAATGCTTCTACCTTTTTTAAAAGTCATGTAGAATCAGAATAAACCCTTGGAGAGTGTTTGCAACTGCTTTTGCTACCCGTTGGTTGAGTGGTGAGAAAGTTAGAACATTGACGAAGGGTCTAAATCCGCAACGACCGTGTGGAGATTACAGCTCATGTATGATGGGTCAGATCTCTGATGCGCATAGATATAAGGTCTACCACTATTGAGCTGACTGAGTCATCGTGACTTAAAATCTCCCAAGTGCCTTGTCGGATCGGGACGTAGAGAGTCTTGGGGTCGGGGATTCAACCTTTTGAAACATGCAACTGCTTCTGGTTTAAAAAATCATTTGTAAAGTGATTTTGGAAAAAATGCTTAATAGTTAAAGTTAGTAATGTTTGGAAAAAATTATTTTGAAAAAGTAAAAGTTCGTAGTGTTTGATAAAATATGTGGTTTTTGTGTAATAGAAAAGGTGCAAAGAAGATTATTGTTTTTATTTTAAGTGTTTAATTAATTTAAGCAGGAATTATCGTTTTCAATTTTTTAAAGCCAATGGGTGAAATTTAAAAGAGTTATAATTATTTAAAATTTTAAATAAAATCTGTTTATCTCTCTAGGGTTTTACCACTAAAGCATTTTGTCTGCTATCGACTTTTGTCGAGGAGCGGTGCCGCTTCGGCAATTCCTGTTACGTTAGTGGCTTCGGTAGGTGGAGAGGGCAGCGGGAGTCAGCGTGGTAGCGCTTCATTTGATTTGGCAGTGAGGAGGTCTGATCAAACTTGGCTCCGACAGAAAGGTTTTCCCGTCGAGGAAGAGGACGGAGTCCGAATCTGGTCAAGAGGTTTCGTTTGTGGGATAGGAGGCATCAAGGGCTGCATGGAGAAGATTATTGACTAGTACAAGAAGATGAATATAGGAGAGGAATCGGAGGAGCTGGATCTGGATGAAGCCGAGTTCGAAGATGTCCCAGTTGAGGAGGTTCAACCGAGCTACTCGGTTGTGGGGGTTTTGCTAACAGATAGAAAAATCAAGTTTCCAGTGTTCAAGGAGCTTATGGCATCCCTGTGGAGGCCGGGGAAAGGTGTTTCGATCAAAAAAATTTGTGATAAGAGGTATCTATTTACTTTATACCATTCTGTTGATATGAAACATGTGTTTGATGGAGGTCCGTGCCAATTTGAGAGAAACTTGTTGATTTTAAAAGAAGTTAAACCAGATGATATTCCGCATAAAATTTGTTTAAATGAGATCGAGTTTTGGTACAAATTCATAATGTCCCGTACAACTTGATGATTTAGGTACAACTAGGCGGGTTGGTAATTTTATTGGGAAGTTTGTCAGCTATGATAATAATCAATTTGGTGAAAAATGGGAACCTTACTTGCGAGTTAGGGTGTGTATGAATGTGGAAAAGCCTCTGAAAAAGGGTACAACTCTTAAAAAAGGAGGTATTGGTCCCTGAGTGGATTTTATGTATGAAAAGTTGCCCAATTTCTGTTTTGTCTGCGACATTATAGGGCATTCTCATAAATCCTGTCAATTGGCATATGAAGAAAATCTGGTGTTGGAAAAACTTTTTGGGTACATCTTAGGGCATGTAGTGGGGTGAAGACTAGTCCTACAGGAGGAAATAAGTGGTTGGTGGATGGGTATTCAAGCTCGAGCCAGTATCCCCATCAGAGGGAGGACAACAAGTCGGATGTCAGGATGGGAGGGGGATGGAAGGAGTCTACATCAGGCACGACTAATAGCTCAACTAAAGATGCGGAATTGGGAAACCATGAGGAGGGGTGTGGAGAGCAAAAACGCAACGCAGCTGGGAGGCTAAGGATACAGAGAATCATGTGGGAGATAATAAGTCTCTAGATGAAACAAAAAACGGGGACGACGCGGGCTTCGAAGCAAACATGGAAGATAGTGATGATCGGGAAGCTCGGACAAGACTTTTATTTTTTTCGCATTTAGTTGTTTTGATTGCCTAGATTTTGTAGTTTACTTTCGGTTTTTTATTTTTTCTACCGTAAGACTATGAATTTAGATGTGGGTGATGGAAGGACCGCGTTGATCGTCTTTGGCTCATTTGCGTTCATTAATGAATCAACGTGTTATATTGCTTCTTTTGAGGTGATAAACTGTGAGTCTAAGTCGAGGGTCGGCGGCTGTCAGGAGTCTTTTTGTCGTTTTAGCCACTATCTGAATGATGTGTTATCAATTTAAGTCTACTTCTTCTACACACAAAAAAGCCAACGGCTGAAAATCATTTTTTAAAATTGTTTTGCAAACATACACTTGAATATGTATTGTGGTGGACTTTTTTTAATTTGTGGACTTTTAAAGAACTCAATGGACTTTTAAATCCATAGACTTTTTTATGAATGAATTCTGTGGACTTTTAAATCCATGAATAAGTTTATTGACTTTCAAAAGGTCCATAGACTTTTAAATGTGGACCAGCACGGTTGGTCGTCGAAATTTTCACCTAGATCGCCGCTACTGATCTGTCCATCCGCCTCCGTCACCCGGAGTTCCCCGTTGTCGTCATCAGACTGATCCGCCACCAACAAAATTGATTTGGTTATGCAAGGGAACTACAGACAAGTAAAAACTAAAAGTAAAAACTACCATTAAAGCAGCCCAATCAAGACTTATTATATCCATATTCATTATGTCTCCTATCCTTATAACTCGTTTATTTTTACTAAGTTCCTCATCAATTATAAGAAATTCATACGAATAGTGGAATCCCGCACGTAGAGTACGCATAAAAAATGAAAAAGGGATTATGGAAGATGACCTAAAAAGAAAATGCAAAATATGCGAAACTACAAAAGGATCTGACGTTAATTAATTAGATTAATTAATGAAATTAGGGGTGAATATGTAATATTTAATCCTATTTAAGGAAAATCAAACATACGATCATACTTTAAGAAGAGTTCTATGTTTTAGTTATACCCCAAGTAATTTTCTCTGTATAATACGGAGTATGATAAGAAACAAACAAATAAACAAACAAACAAACAAACAAATAAATAAATAAATAAATGTAATTCATATAGCAACACAAAGTTCTACAAGAATAAATGAAAGATAAGAATCCAAAATTATTTATATTAAAAAAACTCAAAGTTTCAAGAATGCTCAAGAATTTTGTTCATTTTATTAATAAGTAAGAACATTAACCATTACACAATCATTACACTGATTGCTACATGTGGTACAAGCATAGTTGCAATCGAGTTTTTCTTCTTAATAATTGTTTTCTTTTCACTTCTATCTTGTAAAATTTTATGTACTTATTTACGGTTATAAATTTATTAATTTGAAATTATATTTTTATGTGCTAGCGATGAAAGAAAGTAATAGTTAAAATATTTATTTTCTTAATGACTAAGTGACGACGTACCAGAATTGCACTGATGTAATACTATTGATTCTTATATCAGTTCTTCTAGAAACTTCTATAATCAAACCAATATGGGATTAACGAATCGAGGGGGTCGGGTGGGGCAAGCTAAAGAAGAAAAAGAACGAAAGGAGAGGGGTGGGGCGAGCTGGGCTGAAGAAGAAGAAGAATGATCGAAGGGGAAGAGGTGATTTGGCTAAAGAAGAGGAGAGTTGGGGGAGGGGAGGGATGAGGTGGGACGAGACGAAGAATTGATATAAGAAAAGTCCACTGAAATCTTTAGTGAGAGAAGAGACAATTGAAAAGAATTAATGTACTAAAAATGATTTATAAATTCATGAGAATCCATGATTTTAGAAATCCATAAAAATGAAAGGAACTTTGAATACATATACACCTACATTTTTGCATACTTTTAAAAGTCCATATCGAATACACTAAACTTTTAAAATCTATTTATTTTTAAATTTTTGACACTAAATCCTAATAAGGTCCCCTCTAAATTTTGAAATAAACTGTCGCCGGAGAGAAACAACGTTTATCGGCACCGGTAAAAGGAAATGGCTGCCGGAACGAGGAGCCTCCTTGCATCCGTTTTCGTCCCACCACCCTCCTCGCTACTCAAACTCAGGTCTGCTAGAAACTCTACTCGAATTTCAATAATTCAATCTCTGAAACTTCATACCACTGCTTTCCCGACCGTACCTACCAACCCTTCAATGATTCTTGGAAATCGTTTCCTGCGAGAACGTCGGTCTTTACTCACCAATCTGAGTTCACAGAACTCCGGTGTGGAAAAGGATGAGCTAGGACGACAGGATAGAAGCAGTGGCGGGAATGGAGGTGATGATGGAGATGGATGGAGCTGGACGACGTCGTTTATACTTTTCGGGTTTTGGGCCGGTCTGATGTATTACGTGTTTTTCGTCTCTGCTAACCAAACCCCGGTACTGCAGAAGTACTACTCATACTAGTCTATATGTTTGTCAAGTTCTTTAGATATCAGAAATTTATACTGAGATTGAGATTGACTTTATTTTCCATTTTATTAATACATTTTTAGACGTAGGGTTCGTTTAACATGACTTTTATGGAAGGAAAATCAGTTGGTAATGTTGATTTCAACACCTATTTTGATTCTTCTGGTGATAAGAAAAATAAGCAGATTAACCAGATTGATGCCACCAAACAGGGTCTTATAATGCGAAATTTCTATGACTGCTTTTCATATTGGGATTCTCCATATTCAGTTTTTCTAGAATGCTTTTCTTATGCCGAATTGCATATCAGTATGGCATTGTTAGTTTTATGCTGTGATAATAAAGTTTCTATATGTATTTATAGTTTTTTAGATTTGGTTGCTTGTCTTTTAAAAACTATGAGTCTATTTGAATCTGGGAGGTACTAGATAATGATGATAGGAAGGATCACATTCAGGCCTTAAAAGTGTGTTGTGATGAATACTACTTATTGCCTTTGCTATGCCATAAGGGACTAAGGGAGGAGGGGGGAAGGGGTAAAGTGTTGCAATGTCCCTTTTAGGCTCTTCTTCTTCGGTGAATAAGTTTTACTATTTTAAGATTATAATCTTTGTATATTGCAGTCAACAGACTTGTATTTCCTGAAAAAGCTCCTCAATTTAAAAGGAGATGACGGATTCCGAATGAATGAAGTTCTTGTATCCCTCTGGTACCTAATGGGTTTATGGCCAATCATTTACAGCATGCTTCTACTTCCTACCGCTAGAACGTGAGCTTCATGATAAACCATACTTCTTCAACTTTTGCATATTTAACCTTCAAGTAAACGGTTTTTGGTAAGTAGGCACACCACATCTAGCTTGATCTGCTACCCTTCGTAGGAGGTCCATTTGGAATCCATAAAATGTTAGTGAAAGAAGGAAAAACATGGGGTTAAAAGATGAACCTCAATAACAATATTTTAGGGGATCCAAACATATACAATAGAAGCGAAGAAGCTGTCCCTGATGAATTGTGTAAATTTTATAAACTCAGAAATAGTTAATCTTATTATAGTTTTGTTTCTGAAGGCAAAAGAACAAGGTTCCTCTATGGCCCTTTCTCATCCTTTCATGCTTTGGTGGTGTGTATGCTCTCTTTCCTTTCTTTATTCTATGGAAGCCCCCACCTCCACTTGTTGAGCAAACTGAACTCAGAAGATGGCCTTTGAATTTTCTTGAATCAAAATTAACTGCCGGGGTAAATATGGAGTTATCGGTATTCAACTGATTTTTTTATATATTTAAGGTTTATTGGTTAGGTCTTCATTTTCTGATGCCATAATTCATCCTAACAATGGTGTTTCAGATTGCGATGGTTTTGGGACTAGGGTTAATAATTTATGCAGGCACTTGTAATGGGGACGTCTGGAAGGAATTTTATCAGTACTTCAGACAGAGCCGATTTGTAAGTCCTTGTTCTTGAAGCTTATCACAAGCTGAGAAGATTATCTCACTTTAAATGCATCTATCTTTTTTTTGTACTAACAATTATTTGCTTGATTTGTTATTTTGCTTGTGTTTATTCTATGGCAGATCCACGTAATGTCAATTGATTTCATGTTACTTTCAGCATTTGCCCCATTCTGGGTGTTCAATGATATGACAACTCGAAAATGGTAAGTCTTTGTTCGGACTTTGGACACTAATGACATGTTTAGGATGCGGAAAGGAATAAAGGAAGTCTATAGTGTAAATTATAGGTAGAAAGAACAGAGATGCCCCCAAACTATATGTCACACAGTACATATATGCCTCTTAGAAAATTTAAACAAAAAAGTTATGAAACTGGAATGAATATGCTCTTATGTCCTATAGTTGAGGAGTATGTATGTTCTTTGATTATATGATTCAACGATGTATTGGTTACAACTTTACATCTTTGGTGTGTAGTTTTTCTACAAAAGGTTAAGGGGCGTAAATGTGTCCATTTTCCCCCAGTTGATGGCACCTAAACTTTGCTGAGCGCAGAGGCACATAAGGCTTTTTAGAGTACATGCATATAACTTATGAGATACCTGTTTAACAAATTGTAGGTATGACAAGGGTTCTTGGCTTCTTCCTATATCAGTCATCCCGTTCTTGGGTCCTGCAATTTACATTTTCTTACGCCCATCCATGCCAGCGGAACTTGTTTCCTCGGGCTCATGTACGAAGACGAAAGAAGCACCACACTAAGTTCTGTAGCAGAAAAAATTGATCACTCTAATCCCCCTTGTAGAGGGTCCACTTTTATCAATCCCAATTACATACTGGTTTTGTAGAATTCCATCTGCTAAAACTGTTGTTTTGTAACTTACATCATGTTACCAATTTAAAAAAGTAACAATCACTTAAAAAAAATCTGAATTATCACATTCCCTTTTTATTATTCCGAATCAGGAAAATTAGTTACCAAGTTAACAATTAAAACCAGAACTCTGATACCATATCTACATTTGGATCAAAATTTGCTATATGTAGTGGTTAACAGAATCATCAAATCATATGCTTTGTATCTTTTTGTATGTATGGGTGCCAGGGGTGGTTCAAAAACTCTTCAGTTTTTTTCTTGAAATATGCAAACGTAGTTAAGATATGAGATATGTATATGAACTATCGAGATGGTTCAATTAGTCTGACTTTATCAAAGTTGTGCATGTTATTGACCGTTTGGTTAGTTGTGTTACCCAAGTAATTTCAGACTTTGAAACAAAAAATAATTGATTGATGGGAATATGGGATTAACAAAAACACATGCGACACAGTCACACAGTGGACAAACAAGCGCAAACAAGTTATTCCATTGGGATTTTACAGAAGTAATTTATATTTCTAACTAATAGAACAACAATTGGATTTATTGTTTCAATTTTTCCTATGAAAGAATATAGTAGTTAGCACAAATGCTTGTCACTAATGACTAATCACCATAGGTAAAGCAAAATCACAACATCCGTTAGTCAGTAGAGTACATATATATATATATATATATATATATATATATATATATATATATATATATATATATATATATATATATATATATATATATATATATATATATATATATTTGAAAACTAAAATTGAATTAATGAAGCTACTTTTTCTACCAGGAATTAGCTGAGTTACTCTTACTTTTATTGAATGAATTATTTCCATTTTCAAAACCGAAGGTATGTTTAGCTTTCAAGATGATGTATAAATAAAGTGAAGTAAAACAAACCCTCCAACACAACTTCTTCGAACAACTGTTGCAATAATATCAATAATTAAGGCTAAGGTTTATATCAATAATTGTACTAGATCAGTTCTATCCACGTTGAACACAATCTTCAGCTCGTGTCCAATACTTGCATTCCATATTTCCATTGGTGGTAAAATCATCCAATGGTGACTAAATATAACCGCAAAAACTCAAATGTAAGATTTTAAACAATTTCTCTTGTTTAGTTGATCTTTTTAGATAAAACAATGAGACTTCAAGCCTTAATGAAGTGGCTGTATTGGTTGATTCTGATGATTTATGAAAAAATTATATGAAAAATAGCTAAAATGATCATCTACATACAATTGAAATTAACTAAGAAATATTGCTTTCTCTTATATTCTATATTGTTTGATGTCATTGAAAAACAACACATGCTCTTAGTAATAGAGACTATAAATTTACCTGTGCATTGTGAAGTATGTGAAGTATTGTTTCCAAAACGCAAAAAATGACGTTTTCTTAGCATCTCCCAACCCACTTCCTAGAACTATCTAGGATCCAAACATAACCTGAGTGGTGAATGCTGGCTTATTGCCTATTGCAATGTCATTGGGGGGGGGTGGGGGTGTTGCAGTCTACCTGCTTTTTCTTTTTCAGGTTTAATGCACCAAATCCCCTCGTGATATAGAAATTCAGCGCATTAGCCCCATGTGATTCCCCTCGTGATATAGAAATTCAGCGCATTAGCCCCATGTGATTTGAAAAATGCGTCAAACCCTCATGTGTTTTAATTAATCATGCACAAAATCTCTTTTATGACTAAATTTGATGATTTTGAGATCACTTTTTCTAATATTCTGATTGAATATGCAAGTAAATATGTCAAAACTCTAAATCATACAAAAATGTTAATAATTTTTCTTATATTTGACAATAAAATTTGTTCATAGAAAGGATTTTGCGCATAATTAATTACTAGTAAAACACAAGGGAATTTGACGCATTTTTTAAATCACAGAGGGTTAATGCGCCAAATTTCCATATCACAGGGGGATTTGGTGCATTAAATCCTTTCTTTTCTCGTAAATGGCCACACCACATCAAATATGGACATATATGGTCAGTTTGGAATCCGCAAAATGTTAGTGCAAGAAGTAAATATAACACGGGGTAAAATAAAATAAAATTAACAAACTCAATAACCATATTTTAGGTGATCCAAACATATGTCATAGAAGCTAACATGTTGCCAAGAACATAGCTCACTTGGTAGAAAGAGTGTCCAAAGGTGATGTCTTGGGTTCAATTCCAAGGAAAGACTTGGAATAGAACTTCACTCTCTTTCTATCAATATGTGATCAAAGCTCAATTTAAATTCTCACAAATAATTGTTTGGTCGGTTCTAGGGTCTTCAGGTGTCATCATTTGTTTAGAAGATAACATATTGTCCCTCATGAACTACCTAAATTTTATAAACTCAGAAATAGTTAATCTTATATAGTTTCGTCTCTGAAAGTCTGAAGGCAAAAAGCAGGATTCCTCACTTGCCCTTTCTTCCCTTTCTGTATTCTATGGAAGCCTCCACCCTCCAGTCCTCCACCAGTTGAGCGAACTAAACTCAGAAGATGGCCTTCGAATTTTCTTGAAATAAAAGTAACAGCTGGGGTTAATATGGAATTTTCACTTTTCAACTGATGAGCTTCAACTGATCAGCCAGTCTCTCTCTTGATCAACATATTCAACAAAATCACTCAAATATCAGTTTTTCAGTAGAATATCTAAATACTCTGCAATATTTTATAAAAGGTTAATATGAAAAAGATGTGAATTATAAAAAAGGTATGGAAAAAAGTGATAAAATAATTAAGACTGGATTCTCGTTTCAAAACCATAATCAGCTATAACGAGTTAAAACAGGCTCCAACATAGGGATTTTACAAAAGTAATCAATAAATTGGATTGATAAAACAATAATTGGAATAATTGTATCAGATTTTCCTATGACCTGCTATAGCAATATAATGTTTTATATTGATCACGACAGGTAATGCCAAACCACAACAACCGCTAGCCAGTGGAGTACATATATATCCCTGAAAAACTCAACCTGAAGCTACTTTTGCTACTACAACGAATTAACTTGAGTTACTCTGTACTTTTATTGACTGAATTATTTCCATTTTCAGAACTGCCAAAAATTGTTGCTTTCAAGATGATGTATTAATGTGAAGTGTCAAGTAAAATCCACAACACTTCTTGGAACAACTCTTGCAATAAAATCTGCAACAAAGGCTATACACACTTTGAAGAGGAGGCTGAGGTTTATCCATTATATTAGAATCAGTTCGATCCACGTTTAGCGCAATCTTCAGCTCGTGTAAATGCATTTGCAAAAACATCAATTGTCCAGTCCTTCACATCCTCCTGCATAAAGACGTCAGTATAAGGAACAAAATTGTTGCTGAAGTATCTTCTTACGAAGGAAATAAAATAAAAAGAAATGCTACAGAATCACATTCTGGCGCAGCTTGAGACCGTCATGGTCCCTATACTGAACAGTTTTGCTCGTGAAGTTAAGGTGAAAAGGACTCAATATTCTAAAAGGTATTAAACTGCCTAGGGGTCTTGCCAAGTTAGCATGACCTATAAAATTAAAAACAATAGGCAACAGAAAAACAATAAAGTGCCAGTTTAAGTTGTAAGACATCCTATAACACCTAATTGTCGTCGGATTGATACACCATGAGGAACAGCTCTTTAAATTTTAATACTCCCTCCGTCCCTTATAACTTTGACGTCTTTCCTTTTTTGGATGTCCCAAAAACTTTATCACTTTCCTTTTTAATCAATGAATTTGTGGTTCCTGTTATTTCTCTCTCCTCTGCACACATCTCAATCACACAGTTTTTACTTTATTATTTCTCGTGCCGATCAAACACGCCAAAGTATTGAGGGACGGAGGGAGTACTTTTCAAAAAATAAAACATAGACGGAGCCCTGAGCCACAGTGATGTCTGGGCTTCTTTTAATAACACTGGGAGGATCCATGCCAAAAATGCAGCGTTGCAGCCAGTACAAGAGCAAAATTGTGATAGAAAACCTTGAAAAGAACTGAAATACTCTTAGAGCTACAATCTTACTCCATAAGAGCACAAGTCCACCTTTTTTTAGGTTATATGAAATCAACACTGCCACACTACGATATGACATATTTGTGACTGGCAAACTCAAAGGATTCATTAAGGTAACATAAACTCATGCTTCTTTGCTTCAATTTACCAAAAACATTTATCATTGGGATCATGGATGATATAGGAACAACCCTTAAATCTTAATTATGTCAAATTTCTGATTTCATATAGCAGAAAAGATCAAAGAATAGATTAACTCGCTTAACTAGAATCCCTTGAAAGATACAAAAAGAAAAGAGCAAGGTTATAGGCAAAAAAAAGTTAAAAGAATGCTGGAACCACACTTGAGAATGAGTTATGGAAGCCCACACCACCACATAAAAGGTATTCTCATCAAATCCATTATCCATAGCATTCCCTGAATCATGATTTACTGAACCTTTCCCTTGACTCTTGCTTAATTGAAAAGAGAGAATGGAGCATTACCAAGTGCAAGGGTTCACCGGTACGTATCCGAGCATTTGGACGAGCAAACCGAGACTCGAATGGAGTCCTTGGCCGCACTTCTTGAATTGCATCCCATTCCTCACGGGTAAGCATCCTCACAGTTCCTTGACCTTCAGGAGCATCATTAATCTGCTGCTCAATCCTCTCCTGAGACTTCGAGTCATCATACTACAAAGAAACACAATATCAATATAGCATCCTAACACCATTTAGTTCCAACCGTATAAATTTGTTCATGCTCGGCAATTTGTTGCATTTAGGATTTGTTCATTTCACTTAAGCTAGACAATTAGGTAAAAATCAAACTGCCAAAGAAATATCTAGAAGCCCTTTATTCCAATTAGGGGTTTTACAGTTTTATTAGGCAACAAAATACGGAAAAATCAGCATACAAATGAAAATTCTAGGAGCCCTACCCTTCCGTTAGGAATTTTGCAGTTCAGTTGGGCTATATAATTAGAGAAAATCAACATACAAAAGAAATTCCTACAGGCCATATCCTGCAACTAGGATTAAGCATTGACATTATAGAAAGCGATCTCGAAACATTTCATTATCTTTTAAGGTTAGAGTCAAGCTAGTTTAGACATACCATCATCATGAGCTTTGCTAAAAGCGCAGTGCCAACAACGGTGAGTATCATCGGCATGGTGGGAGTGTCTAGCCATGCCAATGATTCCCGCACCTGGACAAATGTTTGGCTCTTCCTATAATTATTGCCTTTCCTCTTCCTTTCAAGTTCGGCTACCTTTTTCTTCAAGGTCTCGCTGGGACCTTGCAAGGATCTTGTGTGCACTTGTCTCCATAACCGGGGCACCGTTTTACAAACCCCATTCATGCTTTATTAACAAATAAAAGCTAACCAAATCCTATTGAATTTAAACTGCTAATCGAGAATGACAGTTCTGTAATTTGAGACTTTTTTCGAACACCTTGGCTGTACAGTGGATACCTGGATTGATTAATGAATCGCTGAACAATAAATCACAACAAAAGAATATAGATCCTGGATAGTTAGGAATAATTTAAAATTGTAGTGGCTCAATTGCAATAGATTCAATCATACGGTATGAGTCATACAGTGATACGAGTAGCACCCGATCATATGTTTTTATACGACAAAATATACTCCGGTAGTACTATTTCAAAGATTATTTGGTAATTGGTAGAATGAAAATTATGGGATAGTTTATGAGGTTACAATATAATTATGATATGTTATGTTTAAGAGTTCGTTATAAACCTAGAGTTTTAGAGAAGTTAATTACAACCAATTTTAATGAATTATGGGGTGGTGATGATGATGATAGTTCTAATTGGAAGACTATTTATTTTTTTAAAATATTTTCAATTGAAGTCCTAAAAGATATTTTAGTTATCAATCATATATCTGAAAGATAAATATATGAACTGTTAATTTAAGATTCTAATGATTGAAATATCAATCTAAGATATAAAATAGCATGATTTTGAGTTCTTTAATTATCAACTTGTTTCTATGCTACTACATATTTTTTATGACCAAAACAAAATATCAAATGGAAACAAGACTTTATCACAATGACACTAATGATATTTTCACAATGACATCAATAATGATTATATTGCGCATGTATTTTGTAGTGAATATCATTGTATTTTGCACCAACTATTGTGATCATAGATTCAAAGTAGTCATTTTAGATGTTCTTTTTAATAATATTATAACAAAGTACTCCGTATCTCTTTTTATCATAGGAAACAATCACCAAAGATAATTGGATGATTAACTTGTTTAAATACTCTTATCAGTTATCAACCACCATAGTAATTACGGGCCGTCCAATGAATATGGAGGTCCTAGTTCCAAATGCAAAATTGAGACCCTGTTTAATTTTAATAATTGTTATTAATATTGCAATACTATATAATATAATTATATTATAATAAATGATTTGGTCAGGTGTGATGTAGATTATGTCAAGAAATATAGATTATGTCAATAAAATTTACGCTTAAATTTTGTTGAAGTGTATGCACAGTGTTTCAATAACTTATTTAATTGAATTTCCGATTAAATTTTAAATTGAAATTTTGTGGACATAATCTAAACTTCATAAAAAACATTCTCACAAAATTATATATAACAAATCGACTCGAAAGATCTTCAAACAGGCTTGTCCGTATGGACAAATCATCTCTCAATATAGGAAAAAAGGTCAAATACACCCTTCTGCAGTTGCAGATCGGTCACTTAAACTCATGTACTATAAAAAGCATCATATAAACCCATCTACTCTCAAAAAACAATCAACTAAACCAAAATACCTGATGATAACCTTTAATAGCAGGTCCAACCTCACTTTTTCTCAAATATTTATATTGTTCAATTTCTTTTTATTACTTTAGGCCACCCGCCACCAGAATGTTTTTAGCTAGCCTACCCAAAAATTTTATAAAAATTTGTCACAAAGGGATTCGAACCCTGGTTGCACTTGAGGAATTGAGAAACGAATACCATCTCATCTACACATTCGTTGTGTAAATAATTACATCGCAATATATTTATCATAGTAAGGCTCACACCATTATTATAAAATACGTAGTATAAATTTGTAATCCTTGGTAAGCCCAGGATATGGTGGGAGATGGCTTACGTGGCCTGCTAATCTCACTTTTAAATAAGACAATAAAAATAAAATGAAAAATATAAATATGAGAGAGAAAAAGTGAGGATGACCTGCTATTAAAAGTTACCATCAGGTATTTTGGCTTAGTTGATTGTTTTTTGAGAGTAGATAGGTTTATATGATGCTTTTTATTGTACATGAGTTTAAGTGACCGATCTAAAATTGTAGAAGGGTGCATTTGACCCTTTTTCCCTCAATATATTGCAATACTACTATTTAAAAAATTGGGGCCCTTGAAATTGGTGGGCCCGGTTCTAAATGACCGGTAGAACTTGTTAAAAAATGGCCCTATAATTTGATTACCTATACTTTTCTGGAGTTCTATTTGTATTGTAGTTAGGGGCCCTAAATTAGGAGCCGAGAAAAGGGATGGAAAAGAGGTTATACGCGGAAAATAGGTAAATACCGCTACTTTTACCTTCTCTGAGTTAGACCGTACGCGAAAAATAGGTAAATACCGCTTCTTTCCAACACAAAGCGAAATAGAACAAAAATAATAATGGTAATAGTAATAAATTACTGATAATTTGTGTTGAAATTTGAGTTAATATTGACCATGATAACAAAACAAATGTATTCATTAATAATTTACATTTCATGAAAAAAGAGACATTCTTCGAGCCTATTTAGATGCAAAGTCATCTACCAAACTTTCAATGTCAATCTCTTTGAGTTTTTCTTTTGAAACTTCTGATGTCCAGATTGATGTTTCTTTGGAAACATAATTTTTATAATCATGTACATGTTTACAAATTTAAGTTAAAAATTAATTTAATTTTGACTTAAGAACTTTAAAGTTTAAACCCACAACCTAATAAGTTATAAGTAATAATATACTTATACATTTATACCAATTTATTAAATATAAATAGTTTTATTAATTCATCAAAGAATTACACAAAATAAAAAATAACAACCTAAATTCCAAATTTGTTAAATTTCATCATAGATTAGGAGGCCTAAGGGCTAATAAATAATCTATCAATAATCTAAACATTAAAATCAATGATTCAAATATACAATGTTATGCGTAGTATAATTTAAAAGTTTAAATGGTCAAATAGATAAACTTACCTGCAGTGGCGAGTAGGCGGCGTGCGTTGCAGCGGTGCTGAAGGGCTGAACAAGGCTGAACTGGTGGCGTGCGGAGCCGCCGGGCTGCGGTGCTCGACTGCTGGCGTTCTGCGGTGGCAGACCTAGAGGCCTAGACGGAGGTCACGGAGGACGGAGGTCGCCTTGGCCCTTGGTCGACTTCGTTCAATAGTTCGTTTTGTTCATCATTAATCACAGAGCTCAGGCTTTCTGGCTCTCTATTTTGGACTTTGGACTACTCCATAATATTACAACTAATTTTTTTGTGGGCCTTCTTTTTTTGAGGCCCTGTGCAATGGGCTAGTTCTCCCCCTTGGACCGGCCTTGAAAATAACCGTTCAAAATTAATACATATGAGTGTGTAATATTTTTTCATCCTAATATACATCTTGTTTAGACCAACTATTTTATAGCTCAAGTAAGATCTCATTTGCCATTAAAATAGCTCAACGTGTGTGTAAATTATGTTATTCTTTTCTTTAAGATAATTTATATTACTAGTATATTTTAGTATAGATTTAAAGAATGCTAAAGTTTTAAAAATAATTAATGATTACTCACTTCTGGTATTGTAATGTATATGACTATTTGTTGTATCATATTTGTGTAGTTTTGTAACTAAATTAATATGATTAAAATCTTATCTTCCACGATACAACTATGAATTAGAACTAATATTCAATATAGAATACAGTAGGCGGGAAAAATCGAAGTGAAACCCGAAAATCGACCCGGGTTCGGACCGCAAAATTTTACCGGGCCGGACTTTTTTATTTTTGGCGGGCCGGGTAAAAAAAACCGGACCGACCCAGAATTACGAGCCCAAATCCGGTCCATGAAAATTACAAACCGGCTCGGATCGGCCAAAACTCATCCTGAATATTTCATTATAATTTATTATAAAATATTAAGTATATGTAATAATATATCGGAAAGCCAACGGTCCCAACCGTTTCAACATCTCCATCAGCCGATTGGGTATCTGGGAGAGAAATTAGAAGTCTAAAGGACAAATATGGGATGCCATTTAGAATTCCAGAGAGGTAAAATTTATGGAATTTTCATGTTCCCAAGGAGTAATCAATCCTACAAAAACTAATCTTCGAGACTCCGGAGATCATCGGAGTCTGCAACTGGGGTGGGAGGTTCAGGCTCTTCTCCCCGTTCCCTGGCCCGGGCCCGGGCTTGATTGCGAGCCAGTTTGGCGGCGGCCTCCACTAGCTCCTCATCCGCGGTATGATCAGCCATGCAGAACTGGTCCCCTAAGCCCTTAATAAGGAGGATCGACATCAAAGCCTCCACAACATCGTAGTAGCCTTTTGCAGAGCTGTCACCGACAAGGTCGAGCATGAACCGGTTGCTGAGCGGCGTATCCTTCACGAACCTTCCGAAGCTTGACCCCGTGACCCAGACGCTCCTTCTTGGTCTGCAGGCGCAGATCCTCCTCAAAGACGTCCTCGGCAGTGCCCCAGGCATAGTGTTGCGCGACAAGCTCGAACTTAACCGTCTTCTCGTACCTCGTGGTGTCCATATGCCAGACGGGGGGCGCGGCGACGGCCTGGGAAGGACGGACAGTGACAGTACCGGCCTCCGCTTCAGGCGCCGGGGGAGGACCAGGAAGGAAGGAAATCTCGTGTTGCTCACCCACGGACAGCTTCCCAAGATCAGTCTCCAGCGCGGCCTGGAGCTCCCTCTTTTCCTTGGCAGCCGCTTCCCTTTCCAACCGAGCGGCCTCCTGCGCCGCCTTCAGAGCATCATCGGTCGTCTGCTTCGCCAGAAGGGCATCCGCGTCCTTCGAGTTCTCGGACTGCAGGATATACAGACCGGTCTACGGCAAAAGTAAAAATAAGGAACCACGACAAGAAGGAACCACGACAAGAAGGAACCACGACAAGAGTAGAAATAACTCAAGCAGCAGACATGCATACCTGGAAGTTGGAAGCACGTCGTCAAGGCATTGTTGACGACTTCGAGGGATGGATGCGGGAGCAATTGCATCCCTGAGTGAAGGGCGAATTCCCTTCATGCCTTGATGGTCGGGCAGCCAAGAGGGGGCAGGCCGGTATCCTGAGCAACAGGGTCGGAGGGTTCAATGTGGGGCCTCTTCCCTGACTTCTCTTTCCCCGCGCCCATTCAGCGTGGGACCACAACCAAAATAGGCGGTGCGTCCTGGGCAGGACCAAAGTCAGCAACATGCCCTTCAGGGGTGGGCTCAGGCGTGGCCGAGGCAGCAGGCTTCTAGGCATTCTTCTTTCGCTTATCGGTCTGAGAGGCTGCAAAGGAGTTGGCCTCTGAGGATTGGGCCGCCTGGGCTGCAACCGCCTTCTGCTGAGCAGCGCAGGACTTAGCATTCTTGGCCACCCTCTCCAACTTCAGCGCGTTGAGGTGCATTTGTTCTTGAGTGGGATAAGGACCTGAAACGAAGGAATAAACTATTAGGGCCGAGTAGTATGGATCCAAGAAGGATGCTTAACTCACAGGATGGGACCTTCCGAGATCTCGATGTGGTTCGGGAGGGGGAAGTTATCCATCCCAAAGTAACAGGCGGTACCTATTCCTGCATCGGAAAGCGCCCAAAAAGTGAGGTAAGGATCTAGACGTTCAGTGTAACACCCCGTCCCCGCAGGCCCCGAGGTAGTTACTCCAGACTTCTAGTACTATCCTCACAAACCGCCACAAGCCTTTAACGCGCACTTTGTCCTCACTCGCGCGCGCCCTGAGAAACTTCCCAAGGGGTCACCAATCCCAAGACTACACCCATGCAAGCACGCTTAACTCCGGAGTTCTTGGTTAATAAGCTCCTTTAAAAGGAGATGCACCTTGTTAGTATGAGTAGTACTATTAATCTTTTTAAATTAATCTCAAATGTTACAATCACCCCACTTAGGATTGCAATGTCCTCGTTGTGCCCATAAACCAATTCAAACTCAATCATATCCCATAATCTTTTCCCCGCTAAGTGCATGCCTGATATCCAACGGTTCAACACATTGTCGCAGGGTTGCTCTGATACCATCTGTAACACCCCGCCCCGTAGGACCCGAGGTAGTTACTCCAAAATACTCTCTAGACCTCTAGTACTATCCTCACAAACCACCACGAGCCTTTACCACACACTTTGTCCTCACTTGTGCGTGTCGTGAAATTAATTTAAAAAGATTAATAGTACTACTCATACTAATAGAGGTGCATCTCCTTTTAAGGGAGCTCATCATCCAAGAACTCGAAATTTAAGTGTGCTTGCACGGGAGTAGTCTTGGGATGGGTGACCCCCTTAGAAGTTTCTCAGGGTGCGCACGAGTAAGGACAAAGTGCACGGAAAAGGCTAGTGGCGGTTTGTGAGGACAGTACTAAAGGCCAGGAGGGTGTGTAGGCGTAACTACCTCGGGCCCTGCGGGGCTGAGGTATTACATTCGGATCCCTCCTCTTTTACATTGTTGATTGCCTCCTCCAGTTCATCACTAAGGCGCGGTAGCCCTATATTCGGTGGATACACATTCCACCGCACAAGGAACTAGACATCGAGAAAGCGGATGAAAAAGAAGTGATACTTCCATTCGTAGATGGATGTAGGAGCTCCGTGGAATAGTCTCCGCCCGGTTCGGGCACTGATACTCAGGAATCCATCCGATTTCTGGGGAGAAAGCTTAAAGAAGTGGTGAAACAGATCTAGGCTCAGGACTATATCCCTATCTATGCATCAGACGATGAAAGCTGAGATGAACTAGAAGGAATTCAGCATGAACTGGGCGGGAACGACCTGGTACCGGCGAAAGAGGTCTAGGTAGAATGGGTGAAAGGGGAAATGCAGCCCGGCCTTTACCGAATCCAAGTGTACCATCAACATACCTGAACGCCTCTTTAGTGGATGATCTGCCGCACGCAGGTTGTAGACGATCAGTCGGGGGAGGTACAATCACATCTCTTAGAGAGCCTTATCCGTGAAGAACTGCTCGCAACCCTGGGTGTTCCACACTGGTACCACATGTCAAGGTATACCCTCGGATTGCCTCGGTAAAAAACCGTAAGATCATCCCCGGAGAAGGCCTCCTCGCCGGAATCATAATCTTCCGGTTGTGCCTCGGAGGCGTCCCCTTGCACACCCTCAGGGTCAAGATCATTACTGACCGACACCATGGTCCCTTCGGCACTCCCACCAGCCGAGGTTGAAGAGGCGATGTTGTTGGAGGTACCAGTTTCCCCCGAGGAACGAAAATCTGAGTCGAACTCGACAGGCAAACGAGAATCCAATGATGGCTCTGATGGGATCAACATCAAGAAACCAAAGAATAATTAAAGATGTTGGGAAGGGGAATTACCTTGGAAAAAACTTGGAGACGAGAAAGGGTGACCGGGAAATCCGAACGAAAAATCTGCAAACACTTGAAAATGGAAGAGCGAGAATTTGGAAATCCTAAACTATTCAAGGGATGTGATATTTTTAAGGGACTTGACCGCCCAGCAAACCAGTAAGAACGCGATGGGTGACAGGGAGCGTGTTTCAGGACTTGTGTCGCACGGGGCTCAACAGGCGCGTAATGATTACCTTTGCTTTGGAAGTTGATTTGGCCGCCATAACCGTCACATGGGATTTTGAGAACCGCCTAATAAGAGGTCACATCGGGACTCTCAAGGAGGCTCGGCCCGAGAGAACTTTCTACTTCTTCATGTCCCACACTTTCTCGGAACATCAGAAGTGGGGGACTTGTGTTGGGTTAATAGACTCGATACTTGATCGGCTCATTACCCCCTAGAAAGAAACCCATCAAGGCCCATTTAGGGCATGGATGCATGATCCGACAAATGTATCAGTCAAACGCACTAGACGCTCGGTCTCAGTGGTCTTGGACCAACAAGGGCCAGATGACATTCCATGGCCTCCGGCAGGACAACTCACAAGAGCCGAGCAGAGCCCCTCCCTTATGCTCAGTCAGAACCAGGATCCATGTTCCGGGGGATGCTCGTTGAGACCCCTTGACGGGAAACCAAGATATTGGCGGGAAACACATTTAATGCAGTAGATTTGGTGGTTGGGAAGCTAGCCACTCATAATCCTCCACATCATCAGTGTTACCTACCCCTTGGTAGTATAAATAGTAGCATTTATTTTACTATAAAGGTTTGACAACTTATATCTGTTAGCAATATCAATTATCCCCCCCCCCCCATCTCAGCTAGATTAGACGATCGGCCTAGAGTGGTTTGTAGTAGAA